GCTGCCCTTGAACGCCTTTGCCGGCCGGTCGGACTGTCAGCGCGCCGGGCGCGGCGGGGCCGAGACAGATAAAACCATCGACCCGTCGCCGCCAGCGCTTCGGCTTTATCGATCCGACGGGAATTTCACTTGCTGTGCAGATCCCGCTGTCCGGCTGTCAGACACCCGGTGGGAGGGGGCGTGCCCGGGGCGCAGGGCGTGCACGTGCGGGGGGCGGTGTGAGGTGTTGGGGGTTCCGGATGGGTGGGGATGGGAGGGGACATCTGCGAGGGACAAGAGACTCAGGCCCGAGGGGCAGGAGTAGCCCTGGGGGGATCAGGTGGGGGAAAAGGACTTGGGGATAAGGGCATGGAGGAAGGAGATGCTCTGGAGAGGACTTGAGGATGAAGAATTGTGCCAGGCCATACGTTGTGGCGGTGGGGGGGGGGCGGTGGTGGAATCAGAATGGCTGAGGACAGTAGGGGATGCCTTGGACAGTGCAGGGTTGGGACCACAGCTAAGAGACAGAGAGCCTCCATTCTCAGGGGCATACTCCCTTTATAAGACTCTGTAGACCCCCCCCTCCTTTTCTGCCTCTATTTTCTGCTTGTTAAGTCTCCCATTGGAAGCAGATCACACAGAACTCCTGGACCACCCAGGTGTGACACTCAACTGCAGGATATTTCTTTCACTTTGTGTCCCTAGTAGGTGGATCCCTGGTTTGTGAGACCTGGAGGGAGGAAGGGTGGGGTGGGTAAGAACTTGGGCACTCATGTTCTGATGGCTTGAGTTCAAAGGAGTCTTTACCACTTACTAGCTGTGCCACATCAGAGAAGACACATAACCTTTCTGTACCTCCCTCATCTGTAAAATGGAGGTAATAATTATAATCACACACACCATAGAAAGATGTTTTGTTCAGTAGATCATGTATACTACAGTGGTCCCATAAGATTATATTGCCCAGTGATATGGTAGTTTGTGCAAGTATATGCTATGATTTTTTGCATGACAAAATTGCCTAAGGGTCCATTTCCCAGAACATATCCCTGTCATTAAACAACACAGATTAAATAAAATAACGCAATGTAAAGTAGTTGGCAAATAGTGAGTGTTCCACATGGCTTGTGATGATTACCAATTAATACAGCCTGTGGGGCTTTTAAATGACCACAAATTCTGTAGGTAACAGGTAGAGTTTAGAGCACTTGTGACTCATGCCTGTAATCCTAGCTATTCAGGAAGCCGAGTCTGAGGATTTTTTATCTCCAATTAACCAACAAAAAGCAGGGAGTGGAGGTGTGGCCCAATTGGCAAAGCACTAGCTAAGGGATAGTGCATAAGCCCTCAGTTCAAGCCCCAGTACACATATACACATGAGAGAGAGAGAAAGAGAGAGAGACAGAAATAAACAGGGGATCCAATTTTCATCTTTGCTGCAACATTTTCCTTTGGAGTCCTAAGTTGCCCCATAAGAAGTCCAACTATCTCAAGGATATGAGGCTATGAGGAAGCCCAGGCCACATGGGGAAGCCATGAACAGATGAACAGATGCATCAGCCATCAGACATCTGAGTGAAGGAACCTCCAGATGACCCCAGCCCCCAGCAACTGTGTCTTCCCAGCTGAGGCCTCAGACATCTGGAGGAGACAGTTATGCCTTCTATACTGTTTGCATTCCTAATCCTACAGATTGGGAGTATAGTAGAATAATTGCTTTATACTGCTAACATTTCAGGCTTGAACTCAGCACTTGGGTGCTGTCCCAGAGTGTTGTGCTTAAGCTTCTCTTAAAGCTTTTTGGTAGTTAATTGGAGATCAGTCTCACAAACTTTCCTGCTGGCTTCAAACTGATGTTTAGATCTCAGCCTCCTGAGTAATTAGATTACATATAGGTGTAAACCACTAGTATCCAGTTCTTTCCTTTTTCTTTTTCCTTGCTCCCTCCCTCTGTCTTTCCCTCCCTCCCTCCTTTCCATTCTCTTTCCTTCTCTCCCTCCCTCCCTCTCATTTTCTCTCCTTCTTTCCTTCCTTTCTTCCTTCCTTCCTTTTTTTTCCCCTCCTTGATTCTTTCTCTTTCTTTATTTTTTTTCCCCCTTGATGTTGGTCTTGGAGCTTGATCAAATTTAGGGCCTGGGCATTGTCCCTTAGCTTTTTCCACTCAAGACTGATGCTCTACCATTTGAATCACAGCTCCACTTGTGTTTTAGTAGTTAATTGGAGATCAGAGTCTCACAGACTTTCCTTCTCAGGCTGGCTTTGAACCTAAATCCTCAGATCTCAGCCTCCTGTGTAGCTAGGATTACAGGTGTGAGGCACAGATGCCTGGCTAGGTAATTTCTTAATGCTTCTCCTCTGTTCCCCTGGTTAACTTGGCTTCTCCCAAAGTCCCTGTGAAGGCTTAGCCCAGTTCTTTTTTTTTTTTTTTGCCAGTCATGGGGCCTGAACTCTGGGCCTGGGTGTTGTCCCTCAGCATTTCAGCTCAAGGATAGCACTCTACCACTTGAGCCACAGTGACACTTCCAGCTTTATGCTTATGTGGTACTGAGGAATTGAACCCATGGCTTCATGCATGCAAGGCAAGCACTCTACCACTGAGCCACCTTCCCAGCCCCAGTTCTTTTTTTGGTCAGTCATGGGGCCTGAACTCTGGGCCTGGGTGCTGTCCCTCAGCTCTTCAGCTCAAGGCTAGCCCTCTACCACTTGAGCCACAGCGCCCACTTCCAGCTTTTTCTGTGTATGTGGTGCTGATGAATTGAACCCAGGGCCTCATGCATGTGAGGTAAGCACTCTACCACTGAGCCACCTTCCCAGCCCAAACGTGACACATTGGCCATTAAAACCATTTTTTGTTGTTGTAGGTTTTGGTTGTGGGGCTAGAACTCGGCCTAGGAGCTGTCCCAGAGCCTCTTTGTGCTCTCTAGCACTCTACCACTTGATTAGACCAGTTCTTGAACAGGGACAAGGATGTGGGTACATGCCTGAACACATTCTCAAGATTATCATCTCTCAGTCCTTGAGATTGGTGGAGGAAGTACTGCTCACTCCCTTGGATGGTAGAACCAGGCTGGAGGGGACAATGGGCTGGAAAGGCCATTATCTGGAAGACTCCATATGGCAGACCTGAGCCTGTGGCAGTGTTCCCTTCAAAGACTGGAAAGGTCACTTTCTTCCCATTTTTCTCTCCCAAAAACTAAAGCAAGAAGAGGAATGGTAAAACCATTCAGATGGAGAATGAGTACTGAAAAGGGAGTACTGGAGAATGGCTGAAAACTCCAACTTCTCCATACAGGGAGGGGAGAGACCTAATGACTGGAATCCCCCAGGGTCAGGCTCCTCATAAATAGCTTACCTGGTGGGCAGCTGGGCCAGTTGCTCAAGTTCCTGCTCCATATGTTCCTGCAACTCGCTGGGCCTCAGCAGGACTTGGCAGATGGGGCAAATCGGGGCCTGGCTGTCAAACAACGCTGCTGCTTTCTTCTTGCCTGGCCAGGAAGAACAGACACACATGAGCCAGGCTAGTCCCTCGAGGAAAATCCAATATCTCAAGTCTATGACCCAAGTCTACTGCTGTCCACTAGGAATTTTTTTCTCTGTGTGTGTGTGTGTGTGCGAGTGCGCGCGCGCGTATGCTCATGCCAGTCCTACGACTTGAACTCAGGACTTGGGTGCTGTCTCTGAACATTTGTGCTAAAAGCTAGCATTTTACCACTTGAGCCACAGCTCCACTCTGGCTTTTTTTGTGGTTAATTGGAGGTAAGAGTCTCATGGACTTTCCTGCCCAGTCTGGCTTCAAACTGTGATCCTCAGCTCTCAGCTTCCTCATTAGCTAGGATTATAGGTGTGAATCACTGGTGCCAGGTTTCCCTAGGGATTCTTTTTTCTTTTCCTTTTTTATTTATTTTATTTTATTTTTTTATTTTGTCTGTTGTGGGACTTGAACTCTGGGCTTGGGCTCTGTCCCTGAGCTCTTCAGCTCAAGTCACGTGCTTTACCACTTGAATCATAGAGCCACTTCTGATTTTCTGATAGTTTATTGGAGTAAGAGTCTCATGGACTTTTCTGCCTGGGCTGGCTTTGAACCACGATCTTCAGATCTCAGTAGTTAAGATTACAGGCATGAGCCACCTGTGCCCAGCTCGCTAGGGATTCTTGACCTAGAGGAAGGGTGAGCCTGAGGCTCGCAGAACCCATGAGCATCACTCTCTTTGCAGCTCCAGAGGCTGTGATCATAAACCACGCCTCCTCAACCAGCTGCCCCTCTCAGAAATCTATTGGGACACAATCAATGCTCTGTGCAATCAAACGTTGATTACTCCATTTCACACATGTTTAATCATACCATCACCCAGATTATAGAGTGTCCCTTGTCCCCATTCTCTTCTCACTGCTATCACATTCCCCAGATTGAGGAGAATGGAGACAGAGAATGGGAAGGGATTCATTCATGAAGTCATTCAACAAACATTCCCTCCTGCTCGCTCTAACCAGACCCAGTGCAGAGCAGTGGGGTCCTACAGTGGAATCAAGTCTAGTCTTTGCCCTTCTAGTTTCGTGAGAAAAATCAACAGGGACCAAGTGATTTCCAGGGTAGCATTCTCTCCTTTCTTTACTTTTCATACATTCTGTGTGCTAGATGATTTCATTGAATCTGTGGCCACAATTTCCACCAATACCTTGTTGACTGCAGACTGTCTGACGCTACTCTAATCCTTCTAGGCCTCTGTGTCCAAATACCTAGTGGACATCAATATCAATGTTTGAGTGTCATATGAGTGTCTGAAATTGAGCTCTTCAATATCTTCACCCCTTTCAAACCTGCCACTTTCAGTAATGTCCATGTTGTCTTTTTGTTTTGGGGGGTGGGGTGTCCTGAGGCTTGAACTTGGGGGCTGGGCACTGACCCTGAGCTTTTTTCTGCTCAGGGCTAGTGCTCTATCACTTGAGTCACAGTTCTACTTCCAGATTTTTGCTGGAAATTGGAGAAAAGAGTTACAGACTTTCCTGTCTTCAAATCTTTTTTTTTTTTTTTTTTTTTGTCATTTGTGGGGCTTGAACTCTGGGCCTGGGTGCTGTCCCTTAGCTCTTCAGCTCAAGGCTAGCACCCTAACACTTAAGCCACAGCACCACTTCTGGTTTTCTGGTGGTTAATTGGAGATAAGAGTCTCATGGACTTTTCTGCCTGGGCTGGCTTTGAACCATGATCCTTATATCTCAGGCTCCTGAGTAGCTAGGATTACAGGTGTGAGCTACCAGTACTTGGCTACTCTGCCTTCAAATCTTGATCCTCAGATCTCAGCCTTCTGAGTATCTGGATTATAGACATGAGCCATGTCTATTTCTGATAATGGTACCTTCATTCATCTTGTCACTCAAGCCAGTAACCTTAGCATCACTGTGTGCCTTTCATTTGTTTTCCCACCCTTCTCACATTCACTCAACTACCACATCCTCTCTTTCTGCTTCAATATTCTTGGACTCCATATTCTCCTTATTTAGGTCTCATAATTTCTCCCTTGGATAACCTCATGGGCCTTCTGCAAGCCTCACTGATTCTGAGCTCTCTCTTCAATATACCCTTCAAATAGTGTATACACAGAACATGAGCACATTGGACACTGGCTGGGAGCCTGAACTCTATTCACACTCTGTCACTAATGGTAACTAGGACAAAAAAAACCCTAGAAAGAAGCTTGTAGGTGGCCTAGTTCATCTTCTTTGTGGAGCTGAACCCCTTTCCCTTCCCCCATCCAGTGCTCTAGGTTTGCTTATAGTCATGGGTTTGAGGAACCTTATTCATCTAGAAACTTCCTTAGCTATGCATAGAGGCTCTAACTAATGGACTTCTTCAGCTTGAATCTTCCTTGAGTCTTCCTTTTGATGCTTAGAGAAGAGGGTAAGATAAAAATCAGCTTTCAGAGAGATAAAGTCTGTGCCAGTGGTGGCCAAGATGGATAACTGAGTCAGTCTGCCAGATTAAACACAGGATGCCCAGTGAAATTTGATTTCAGATATATGATAAATACTTTTTTTTAGTGTAAGTATGTCCCAAATATTGCACAGGACATATTTATATTACTATTTTTTTTCTGGAATCAAATCTGCCTGGGTGCCCTGTATTTTTATTTGCTAAATCTAGCAGTTCAGGCTAAGCATAGAACCCATTTCCATGTAAACCAAACTCAGGAGGATTATGACTTTCCTAAATACTGGGATTGAAGTTATCTGAAGGCTCAAAGGAGAGGAACAATTCAGTCTGGATATGTGTTCTGGGAGGAAAAAAGGAAAAGGCTTAGCCAAGAAGTAAAATTTAAGCTGTACTTTAGATGTATACCAGGCATGGAGCTAGTGGCTCCTGCCTGTAATCCTAGCTACTCAGGAGGCTGAGATCTGAGGATCATTGTTCAAAGCCATCATGGGCAGGAATGTCCATGAACTTCTTGTTTTTTTTTTTGTTTTTGTCAGTCATGGGGCTTGAACTCTGGGCCTGGGTGCTGTCCCTCAGCTCTTCAGCTTAAGGCTAGCACTCTACCACTTGAGCCACAGTGCCACTTCTGGTTTTCTGGTGGTTGACTGGAGATAAGAGTCTTATGGACTTTCCTGCCTGGGCTGGCTTTGAACCATGATCCTCAGATCTCCGGTTCCTCAGTAGCTAGGATTATAGGCATGAGTCACTGGTGCACCCAGCTGAAACTCTTATCTTTAATAAACTGCTCAAAAAAAGTTGGAAGTAGAGCTGTGGCTCAAGTGGTAGATTGCTAGTCTTGAGTGAGCTCAGGAACAGTGGTAGATTGCTAGCCTTGAGTGAGCTCAGGGACAGTGCCCAGGGCCTAGATACACACACACACACACACACACACACACACACACTGTACCGTATACCAGGTATGGGATGGGAATAAATGAATGAATTAAGGAATAATATGTTATGATTTCCTTGTTGGCAAGAGCCACTTCTAATTCACTTATAGGTTTATCAACAATTAATAGCAGGCCTACTTGACCTGCTATTATTCAATGATATTCAATGATGAAGCAAATGAGGAAAAGAGGAAGAGAAGGAGAAAGATGGCCATAGGACAGGTTGTCCTCAAAACTAGATAGCTGAGATATCAGTTATGGAAGTTTTTTGTTTTCCAGCATGTAGGTAGGTATGAATCCAGCCTGTGTGGCTAGGTCCCACTTTCATGAACATTGATGATTGTACCTTAGGTGTTCATGCAATGCTGGAAGGCAGTAGTGAATAGAAGAAGCAGATGTGGCCTTGGTCTGAGAGGTGAGAGATAAGGATTCTAGTCTCACTGTTGACCCTTAGTTCTTTACAGTCAGCCAATTTCGGAAGTGAGATCCTGGGAAATCTCCAGGACATTTTACAAATAGGGAAATTGAGGTTCAGTATTGGAGAGGACCTTGAATGCCATTCTTGATCTCATAGCTTTATTTACCCCAGCAAACATTCATAAATCAAGTATTATTCTAGGGGAAACTGGAGTTCAGAGATAAATAAAACACATTCTTGGCTTCTAGGGAATCACAAAGTAGTGGGAAAGCCAGTGACTGGTCAGCATTGGCCAGAGCCATGAGGGAGGCAGGAGCAATGAAGGGTACATGAGAGGACAGGAAGGTGGCAGAGAGGTAGGATCCAGGAGGAAGGCAATGCTCAATGGGAGGTATGAAGGATGAGAAACATCAAGATTCAGCTTCCTGAAGTCCTGGCCTGCAAGCCTGGGGGCCAGGTATCAGTGTTCCCATATACTTAGTCTCATCTGATCTGCTTTACTACTATGTGCTTTTTGTGAACTTAGCCTTTGTTTCCCTGTCAGGATATTGGACCCTCTTTTTGGCTCCCAGCTGTAGGATCAACACTGACAGGAATCAGCCTATAACCTCCATCCCATCCCTATTTTCTCAGAGGTTAGAGTGGCAGATGTCAGTATAGCCATGAGCCCCCTACTTTCCCTCCCCCGCTGTGTTCCCTATAATTTTATATTGAGACCTGTGGTCATGACGTGGATTTTACTGCACTAACGACATGGCCTGCCCAGGTTTAATGACAAAATCCATACCCTGGCCCTGGGCCTGCTCCTCGTTTGCATAATTCCCAGAATACAGCTCCCTGAAGCTTTTGACCTGGACCATTACAGTGGCCATAAAATGGGCCATAAAACCGCTGGGGATGGCCAAAAGGAGGTGGGGAGGGGGGCTCTGGTCTTGCTGGGGTGGGAAAGAAGCCCTCCACCCCCTTCTCTTCTTGTGCTCAGGAAGAGTCATCTTCTGGTGCTTCTTTCCCACACTTCCCAGAATCTAGGAGTTCATCTCAGGCTGATGAAGGCTCCCAGAAATCCTCAGTAGGCTACCCACTGGATGCAGGAACCCCTTCTCCAATACTGCGGGCAGCATCACAGGTGGGCCGCTGGAGCCCACCCGAGGCAGGTTGTCACAGAACATCCCTCACACCTGCCTTTGACAGTTGCTCCAATAGCTG